ATACTCTTTTTTGATTGGTTAAAATTATATGACAATATCATAAGGTCATAAATATTTATAAATGACAAATGACAAATGACAAATCATGTAAGTCATATAGGTCATATGATGTCATATACCAACACTGCTAAAGATCTCTATAAAAAAACGATTCCCAAGTTACATGTTACGAAAAATGACCTCTTTTAAAACTTTTAGCTAATTGTGCGTATCATTCGCTGGAGATGAGTGAGACTGATGATGAAGAAAGTTCCTCTTCGATCATTAATGTATATGATCTCTCATAGAGGTCGGAAGAGATTATACGTTTTTATCTTATCTGAATTTTTTTTCACCTATTATTAAATTTTTAACTAACAAATTTTGACTTATTTTTGCTATTAATTTAACTAAACTCGTATATATTATACATTTATTTTTAGTTAAAATATTTATTGCAAAATGTTCTCGATTCAAAAACAATACAAACGGCACAGCAAATTCGACCTCGAAATTATGATGACAAAATCCAATGTTATGACCATTAACCTCCTGAAGATACGCCTGGTTAGACATATACTGAACAACCTAATGATATATACGATATAGATTTCAATAGGTATATGGGAGAAGATGAAGATGCAGAAGATTTTGACGAAAGAAGCAGTAGTAAGTCAAACCCTATTATTGAGGCTGAAAACTGAAATTCCTCCAAAAAATCGAAAATTGACTTAACGCAAACATTTTTTTTTCTTTATATTGTTTTTTTCTTTATATCATTTTTTTATATCGCTTTTTTCTGTTGTTTCTTTTTTCTTTTATTTCTTTATTTCTTTTACAATATTTAGCAATACATATTATTATACAAAAATTCTAGCGAAATTTATTTCAAAGTAATAAATCGATTTGTGGTTGAATTATATATGAATTATATCTGAATTTCATTTGATTTAAAAGTTGAATTTTAGTATATTACTGGTTGATTTATATCTGATTGTTATCTGAAAGATATTTCTGAATTCTGTCCGAGTGGCAGCCATTCAGAACCCAAACGGAAATATCTTTCAAATAAAAATTCAAACTATTTTAAGATAAAAATCAATCCTAAATCAGATAAAAATCAGACATCTGACTTATTATATCTGATTTGGATGATTTTGACCAGTGCAGTGAGGTGTTGTATGAAAAACTTTTAGTCGAGAATATAATGTCAATGACCTGGTATTCAATTTTGGCACAAGTCTAAACGTGATTAAAGGTTTCATGTCTATCCGAACATCTAGGACAATTTCATGATTGGTCATAAAGATTTGAATGTCTTGTTTTGAGGATTTCAAGGGTAGAGAGCAGTTCAAGCATAAGCTTGGTTTTGAATTTGCAAATGGAAGAGGCTTTGAAGGATGTATAAGAGTTGTTTTCATTGTCGTTGAGGATGAAAAAGATACGAATCCAATCTATATCTATTGTACTGTATTTATTAAAGTAAGGAAGCAGTTGTATATTATGAAAATCAATTTATCTGAAAAGGTCTTTCACGAACAATCTAGGTGGTATAAGTACAATATTCTCATTAAAATAGAGATTATAATGGTATCCTAGAAATTTGTTATTCAGAGTGATTGGGGGACCATCAGCTTTTGCTAATGCATCAACTACATTATTGTAATAATTATCTAAGTGAGCTTTGACTTTGTGAAATTTAACGGAAATAGACTTTTCCTTAATTAACTTTATGACAAGAAACCAAATTGGGTAGAAGGAAATTTTAAAAATGGGGTTAAAGGTAGGAGAGAAGGTGTAGAAGTAGTTTATTTTATCAAAAGATGAAATGACATTTTGTGAGTCTATGAAGATATTAACTGTAGCATTTGTAGATGCTACATATAAAGCAGCTAGTACTGCTACTAATTCTGCTAGAGAAGATGAAAGTTGAGAAAGAATAAGTAAAGCATTAAAGGAGAGTAGAGGTGCCGAAGGATCAGATTGCAACCAGGCTACGCCCATACAGATCGAAGAAGTACCTAAATTGATAAGGGAACTATCAGTATAAAACGAAAGGTTGGTTGATTGTACGAAATAAATTTTAAAGTTGTCTAAACTATTAAGGATTTCTATATTAAAAATTTGCTCATGTGTTAGAGATGAAGAAGTCAAAGAAGGGAAGATATTAAGTGTATTATTATCAATTAAATTGTAACTATATAGAGCAATCTCATAAAGCATATAAGGGGACAAAGAACAGATATGACCAATATTTGGAAGGAGGGGAGCCTTGATGTCAGCACATAGGTGTAAAAGTAACATCATGAAGCAGGTTTCCTATTTATTTCTCATATTAGAAGGAACAAAGGAAGAATCATTATTGAGGGGTATTTATTGCATGGTAAAAGTGGCGTTTGAAGGTATGACCTAGTGAGGCAAGAAAATGTTGTAAGTAAACTAAATCATTTTCAATTCTGAGTACTTTTCCGATTATAGCAGAATGGGAATTTAAGTGCCAACCCACAGCAAAATGGTAGTACTTTTAATATAAGTCAGAGGAGTCAAGTATATATTATTAGTGTGTAGGCGATAAAAATTTGAAGGAATGATTCTTGTGTTAGATGATAATATAAGTAATGATTGTAGTTTGAGAAACCAAGCAGGAGCCTTAGGAATGGCCAGACGAGTTGCTGAAAATTTGAGGTCAGGTAATGTGAAGAGTGCTGTACCATCTGATGTTGTAATCTGGTCAAGAAACATCAGTTGTTTGTTTTTTAAAATTGGAGCAAAGGTGTGGTAATCTTTTTTTGTGAAAATATCACATAATGGAAATTGTCCTCCTTTTATACAATTAGCCTTAGTGTTGCTATTGGAGATGGTGATGTTAAGTGATTTTAGTGCAGAAAGCAGAGCAGACTACCAGTCTTTGAATTTGAAGGAATCATTATACGGCCAAAATGCTAGGGTGATTTAGTGAGCCATTCATTATTTTGAAGTAATCTAGAACGGATTAAAGATGTAGTGCCTAATAACCCTTTATCATTAATAGATTTGATGAAATTAGAAATTTTTGCTTGAATCTGTGCTGTGTATAAGTATGTAATATTATAAAGTAATGACGAATGAATGATAATTGTTGGGGTACTTTTAGATAAGTATAAATTTGACCTAAAAACTTTTCGATATGAACCCATAATCTGATCACAGAATTTGTAATCAAGAAAAGTTAATTGAATGCGATACAAAATTCTTAGCAAGAAGACTGAGTTGAAGACTACTTTGAGTTGTTTATCTGTGAGGAATTTCTTTTTTATTGTCAAGGTAGCGGTTTGAATTTCATTTTTTACTTATTGTCTTATAAACTGGCAATTTAGGAGAAGCGAGATCCAAACACTGAGATAACGAGTGGATGATTTAAGGTCCATTAGTTTGATCCATTCTTCATTGTATGCTAGTCTAAAGTATACAGATGATGTAATTGGTACTGAAGAAAGTAATACAGATTTATCCCAATTGACGAGAATGCTATTAAGTTGGTAAAAATCATCAGCTATTGTTAAGATCGACTCAAAATCATTCTTAGATTTACTGATTCAGAGGGTATCATCCATATAAGCAAGTGTGGAGACTTGTGTTGAAACTGTGGATGTCAAGGTATTACCGATATGTGGATGTCATTCAGCTGATAGATTATAACTAAGATCAGTATTTTGTATGTGACATAATAAGGGATCGTAATATATACACCACAGAATAGGTGAAATAATTTTACCTTGATCAATACCTGAGATAACTGGGTAATGATCTGTATTTCCATGAGCTGTAAAAATTTGATTAAAGCGATTAGAAAATAAGGAGAATACAAAGTGAAGGAACGATAATGGAAGGCGCAGATGATCAAGCGCATGAGTTAACATTATGATATTAACTCTGTCATAAGCTTTTGACATGTCCTGGAACAGGATCCAAAGTTGTTTGCTCTTGTATAACAAGCGATCATATTTTATATTGTCTAGAATGTGAATTGGTTCAAATGTAAAACGAAACGGTAATCCAGCGAAATTGTTTCCTTGTAGGACAGAATTTTTTGAGAGAATATCTAAAAGCTGTTTGTTAATTAATTTCACGATTGCTTTTTAAGGGCATTCTAATAAAGTAATAGGGTGAATATTATTTAAATTATATTCCCATAGTTTGGGTTTTGGGATGGGATAGACAAAAGCTAAATTCCATCTGTCAGGCATGCAGGAAAGTTTCAGACATACACAAGTGAAGATCCAAAAAATATGTTTCATTTTGGGATCTAGATGTTTTAACATCTCGTTTGAAATTTTGGAGGGGCTGGGAGCTTTATTATTAGGTAATGTCTGAAGGAGTCTGTTCCATTCGTCTTCACTTGGTAGATCCATAAGGTTATGATAGATCTGAGGATCAATTGTGTCGATGAGTTCGTACTATTTTTTCCAGTTATCAGGTAATAAAACAAAATGGTGTCTAGTACCTGTAGTTTGTTAGAAGTGTCAGTTAGTTTCACGTTTGACATCATCAGCTGAGGTAAGTAAACCAAGATTATCAGGTGAGTTGTCAAGGCATCTGTCCAGAACAATTGTTTGTCTTTGTCTATTAAGGATAGAGTCATACATCTTGGCTTGATCATCATGAAAATTATCACATCTGCGTTGGAGAGCTGCTTTGATTTGTTTAGTTTTATGTTTGTCTTCTTCTAATTTGATTACTATCAAATGGATTTTGAGTAATTCAGCAATATTCTGTTTAATAGTAGTGAGGTCAGCAATTTGTGGGGTGTTGATAGGTGCCTAATTTAAATTGTATTTTAACGCAATGTCAAAAGCCATGTTGTATGTCTGGGGCCAGTTTACTGATATGGAATTGAGGCGAATGCATTTTTTTGTCGTACGTAGGAATTTTTGTATTAGAATCAATTGTTTATAGAGATTCTTCAATAATCTTGGCCTGGGGTCACGAGAGTGTTGAGATGAGTATCTGGATGGGATACATTTTCCAGCCACTTTCTCAATACATCCTTATATTAGATCCTAAAAGAAGTTTTGAGTGTAATCTATTAGGAGAGAGGTTGGATAGTTGACAGCTTCTGAGAAAACCATCCATTTTTTTACCAAAACATGCTCAAAAGTTATCATCCATGTCATCATAAAGGTAAATCTTCTTTTTTTGCATTTTTTGTCATTATTTGAAGTGGTAAGTTCAGCTATATTCTCATTAATAGAAACTATCGAATGGTCAGAAATGTTGGGATCAATGTCGATGGTTTGAGTTTTGTTGAGGCCTGCAGCAATATGTGATGAGGTATAAATATGGTCGATTCTTGAGGGTTGATGATGTGCAATGTGAAAGAACGATGGGAATAGTTGATTGACATTATTATGTAGAAGATCGACAGAGTTGAAAAGTTAGAAGTCTTCAAGTTGGGTGAAGAAATGATCAGCTTTTGACATATTATTAGAATGGTCTGGTACCGCATTTAGGTCTTCTAGTAAAATAATTTCCATGTTAAGGTTTATCGCTAATTTAATGATGTTACATATATCTTTATATGTTTGTACTCAGAGGATTATGTTTGAACTTGATATGTAGCAATTAATCAATCTGATGCGGAATTTGTTACGAAATTAAAAATTGACGAAAATATAACATTCATGTTGTCCGTGATGTTTGTAAATATGATCAGCAATATTTTTCT